CTAAAGATGAGAACTGTAATTAATATGTTGCAACTTTTAATGTTGCAACTTACGTTGCAATTAGTTTTAATCTATATTGTTGCAACTTATAATGTTGCAACATATGTTGCAACTAATTTTAGCTTATGTTACAATATTTTGTAAATTTAAAATCAATTGCTGTACCATCTTTATTCTCTATCACAGAAAAATTAGTTTCTTATCTTGGATCACGAAAGAACTATGTCATTCATTACCAAAAGCTTCAATATTATATAAAATTAGGTATGGTTGTAGATGAAGTTTTAGAGATACTCTTCTTCGACCAGACTAATTAGCTTGAATCCTATATATCTTTTAATACTGAGAAACGTAATGAGACTAAATACATTTCTGAGTGACTTTTTCAAACTTATGAATGTATCAGTATATAACAAGACTATGGAGAATATTCGCAAGTACCAGGATGTCAAGATTATGAAGAATAATAATGAGTGAGATGAAAAAGCTTTCTTGAAAGGTCCGCATGCTATCTTTCAAGTATGCTAAATCATTTGAATATACATTAGTAAGAACACATATAGGAAAGGCTAGTGTGACTCTTAATAAGCCTATTATAGTCAGTGCATCTGTTTTGGGACTTAGCAAGCTTTACATGTATAAATTCTGGTATGGTTATTTGAAGGAAAAATATGGGAATGATATTGAACTTGGCTATATGAATACAGACACTTACTTCTTTAAAACTAAGACTGAAGATATCTATATAGATATAGCCAAATGACCAGATCTCTTTAATCTTAATGGAGATCAAACAGTTAGAAAATATAAGAACGTGACTCCTGGTAATGTAATTTCAATATCTACACATATTTGGGCAATATTATATCTTAGCTGTTAAGTCCACGAATTCTAGACATAAGGGAGTTAGCAAAAAATATATAAGTGAGATGGCTACAGATTTATATATGCTAACTTTAGAAGGATCATTGCTTGATAATCCAATAGATAAGTCATTATTATTAGAACAAGAAGTTAAAGATTTGAATATGTGACTGAGGCAAATCATATGACTTTAGTATATCTGGATTGTTTCTTTGGGAAGGAAGTATTCTATGCCAAAAATGTGGGTATTCGATCAAAGGATCATATATTATCTTTGGTTGAATCTGAGAAGAAGACACTCTGCTTCATAGATACTAAGCATTAGATATTATCAGATGGGATAACTACTTTACCATATAGGCATTAGCGTAATATGATTTATAAGAATATGATCAAAAATGGTATCCTTCATGAAATAGCCGAAAAAAAGCCATAAGGGCTAAGCTTTCAGAGAAGTATCAAAATGAATGTGTATCTCACATATCTAGCTCACTTTAATAAGCTACTAGTGAAAGAGTATTCTATATCTCCTGAAAGTCTTGATTGAAGGAGTATTATTATATATTTTTTTTTCATGTATAATAAATATTTGGTTACAGAATACTTCTCTATAATGAAAAGCAAACAAGAACAATTATCTAATAGCACATATAACGAGTATGAGAAAGGTATGATAAAAGAACTAATAAAGTTAGCAGAACTCAATCATCTTATAAGAGTGTCTTCAGCAATGATAAAAAATCCAGTATTTTTATTGGAGAAATTGTAGCATTAATGATTAAAGTTAGATAAACTTAATTCTTAATTCAAAAGGCTTGAAAGAACTGTAGACTGGATAAAAAATTATGTAGAAAAGCAAACTGGCTTAGAGCCTAGCAAAAAGCTAACAGATTCATCTGAGTCTGATTCAGATTAAGTAATGTATGTAATTTGGTCACATGATATTGTTCCCTTAGAGCTTAGTGTCACATGTTCACACAGTTATATTTAGGCGATCTGATTGGTTAAAATATAATATAGAGTATATTTTTTACCTGAACTTTGAAGGATAATATCTAGACTTCCACTGATTGGATTTATGTGAATTAGGTTTATTTGACTGCCATTATTTTGTATTATATTTATAATAATTTTCAGATGAATTGGGTATTTGCTTGCAGAAATATTCCGTCACAAATTCTTAGTATTTTTTTTGAAATCTAGGCCTTGGCAAATTTTTAACCAATTTTTAGGTGGAAATTTATATCAGAAATAAATGAAATATCCAAACTTTTGGAAAAATATGAAATTTCTGAACTTTTGAATGTTTTTTTTCCAAGATTATATCATCTTACTGAAGGTGCTAAATCATAATCAATCATATGACTAACCAACCACATTTTAACGAACACTATAAAACTTTATTTGACCAAATATCCCATCCATAAAAAAAGAAGTATGATTACGTTTACAATCCACAAAAATATTCCACTATCTGAGAAACAGGCTAAAGAAATTCGTTTTGATATAGAGGAGTTGCTCACTAGTAATGTTAATAGGTATTATAAGAGTAAATATTGCCAGAAAATTAAGATTGAAGCAAATACTTCCACTGATGATAGCAATACTTTTTTCCGATTGAATGGATTGAAAAAACAGTTGGAGAAGTGTAATGCTCTGCTAAGACAGAAGGAAAACAATATTAAAAAAACTATTGAGACTCAGATTGATAATGAACGTAAAAGTATAAAAAAAGATTATGATATTTTTAAAGCTTGCAAAGAAAGTGAATATAATAATTGCCTGGTAGATATGCAACAGAAACTATATTTATTTAAGCATCAACTAGAAGATCAGCATAAATCTCATTTAGATGACTTGGAGAGGCAATACAAATCTTGTATCTTAACGTTAGAAAAAACCATGATTGAGAAAGATAGAGAAATTGGTAAGTTATCTACTACTATTTCTCAGACTAAAAAAGATAAGAATACTCTGAAAAAAGACTTCGCTTCTGCTAAAAAGACTATTAAAGTATTAGATGATATTATTTATAGTAAGGATCAAACAATTATTAGTTATAATGAAGGATTACAGAGAATTAATCTTGGCTGTATAGATGACACTATAGAACCAACTAGCTTTTATGAAAAGGATGCTCGAAATTTGTGAAATAGATGGCGTGATAATGCTAAAGATGATCTTATTATCCAAAAAAAATATACTTTCTGGTCATGTGTACATAGTTCAATCATTCTAGTTTGATCTTAGATTCTACATTGACTCGATTATAACTCAATATAAACACTACATCATCTAGACTATAACTCAACATAGACTCTTTATTAACTTGACTATAATCCAATGAAGAATTGGTAGACTTATCATTAATCTAACATTTATTTTTTTATGCCGTAAAAATAAATAAAGATATGTGAACTCCTTTTCGCAGTATTGACATGTCTGATCAGCTAGTTTTTTTATTTCTATAGGAATGTTTTTTTTAGGATCCTTCTTTTTCACAATAAAGATATTACGCTAAGATTTATGAATTGATAGGAAAATGGTAATAGTCTTTCCATTATATGTAGCCTTAAATTCTCCTTTTATTAAAGGCTCCCATTCAGCTTAATATTACTATTGAGTACTGAAAATTACTAAAGATTTAGCATTTCTATTATAATCCTTTTCTGCAGGCATAACAGAAAAATCATTCATGATAGACGCTGTATTTTCTTTAGAAGCAATTGTTATAGAAACATTATTCATAGTACCAGTAGATATGGATTAACTTGCAGCCTATGAATTTTTTTCCTATTAATTTTAATACCTAAAAGCTCTTCGACAAGTTCAGAAATATTATTTGAAAATATGAAAGAATCAGAACCTATATCAATCATTGCATAAGGTATTACTAAACCTCCTATTTTGCAATAAATAGTCGCAACATTGTCAGCATCCTTTATTTGTAAAAAATTTATCTCTAAAGGTTTAGGCCAATATATTTGACTATTTTTTTTCAGCTGAGCAACACTGAGCATATGGGACCTTTGCAATAGAAAGGGGGAAACTGCCGGGAAAAATTAATTTTACTTTATATGCCAAATATGATTTTTATGCTGAAATATGTTTAAATTTAGCATTAACTCATTTTTGATTTTTCTGGCTGTTTCCCCCCTTTCTATTGCAAAGGCCCCATATGCTTTAATAGCATGATTCAAAGTATATTGACTTCTGGGTAATTACTATCTGGCAAAGATTCTATTTCCATAATATTGTTTGTCTGAGAAGAAGATAGGATATTTAAAAGAGGCTTCTATTCAGTAATTACTGCCTGCAATAGTGGAAACAAAATATTTTGAACTTTTTCTGTAATGTTCTCCCATGCTAATTCCCTTCTTTTAACCATATCATTTGGCATAATAGTATTCAAGCAATAGTCTTTTAATTTAGGGAATATTTTATTAATAAATTTTGAAATTTCTATAAGAATCTTTTTAGGATAATAGGGGACTAATGATGATATTGAAGATTTTAAGGCTATTTGATACATTTGATCTGTAGCCATGCGAAGTTCCTTATGGCTAATTATATTGTCTGATATTTTGCCAGTAGGCATTTTGTTAATATAAGACTTGGAAGTAGTGGCCTTCTTAATTGCTTCTTCTTTCAGCTTAATGCTCTTTTTCATAGATATTCCACTTCGCTCCACTTTTTTTTTACAGCATAGCAGTTTCGGTCAGAGACATTTAGGGTAGATTTGTCATTATCAATATATTCGTTATCTTATTCTATTTCCTCTTCTTTAGGATCCTCTTCTTCTTCTATATATTCTTCTATGTATTCTTCTTCAGAATTTTCAGGTTCTTTTATCTCATCATAGTATATAAAATTAACCTTTTTAGTTCTCTTAACTTCAGAATAAAGATGGTACAGCAATTGATTTCAAATTTACAAAATGTTGTAATATAAGCTAAAATTAGTTGCAACATATGTTGCAACATTATAAGTTGCAACATATATAGGTTAAAACTAATTGCAACGTAAGTTGCAACATTAAAAGTTGCAACATATTAATTACAGTTCCCATCTTTACTCCAGAACAATTAACTTTTGTATGTCTAGTCATTTCACATACTGAGCAATGAAAAATAACTTGCTAGGTAACAATTCGCTTAACTCCAGGACAATTAACTTTTGTATGACCGGACTTTCTACAGGCTGAGCAATGATGAACAACTTGCTGGATGATAATTTGTCTAACTGGTGGTTTTCTTATTACTCTTTTAGCTTTTTGTGTAGCATTTGTATTCCTATCTTGTGATTCAAAAAAGGGACTCTTTCTTACATGAGCTGTTGTGCCTCCAAATCTCTTTTTAAGATCATTGTAGATAAATTGATCTAAAGTTGCATCATCTGTTACTATTCCTGTATATTGCAAATCCCTTGCCAGTTGAATTTTAAAATCATCTTTTTGTGATTGAGTAGTTAAAACCTGAGAAGGAAGAGGTGCTTGCTCTGCAATTTTTCCTCTACATTCTAATCAAATTTGTCGTAGATTTGTGAAAAAAACATCTAAATTACCTGGATTAGCTTGTCTAAGTCCATTTTCACCTATTGTGATATATGTCTATAAAGATAAGGCAATACATCTGCATAAGGAATACCCTGCGCATATGTCTTGATTCTTTTCTCATAAATATCTGCTATATCCATTGTGGAAAATTTTTCATTCATAAGTAATCATCTTAGTACGTCTTGATTAGTTCTAACTAATACTTCCCGATATTTGCCTTGTAACTAATTCAGAAACTCTGGCTCATTATTGATTGGAGTATTAGCATTATATGGATTGTTAACAGAAACTGGATGGAATCTATCTGTCATCTTTTCTCTTATTTTATTAGATTTTACAATAGCATCAAAACCTGCAATAGCCAATAGTTGGGCTAATTTGTTAATATTTCTAAGTTTAACATACAGTAATATAAATCCAGTTCTTCTTGATCATCATAAAATGGAATGGTTGAATAAGGTGGGTCAGAAGTTTGTTTACATATACTATAGTCGCTATATTTAGAGGATTTATTTGTAAATTTAAAATAATTTGCCTTGAATTTATTTTTTGAGCTTTCCATTTTTGATATCTGTTAAATACCTAGGCTCTATTGAATTCTGCTAAGTCAGCCTTAGCTTTATGTCTTCGATTTATTAGACAAAGGCCTACCTTTTCTTGTAATAATAAATGGTTACATCTTTCTGCTTTCTGTGTCCTAAACCATTATATCCGCCATTCATCTGTTTCATTATTTAGAGCTTGTGTTAATATTTAGTTATTATTCTATGACCTAGCTCAAGCTTCTTGCAATTGTTGCATTAGAGTTCTGACTCATCAAACACTTTGTTCTACTACCATATTTCAATCTTGCCAAAACTGATGAATTGTACCAGTATAAGTAATAATATTAGTCAAACATGTACTAACTCTATCAAATTGTCCTTTTGTATCATCTGGAAGTATAATCCCTGTATTATTCAAATGTATTTGAATTCTTGCTAAAGAAGCTGAAGCCTCAAATCAACTATCTAAAATAGTCTGTATTGTATGTTCCATATCTAATATTTTTTTATTATTTGAAACTTTTTTCTGACTTAGATCAGTTATTTTATAAATACGGGTCTTAAGCTGATCAATCTTGTCTTTTAGCCTTAAAATATGTATATCTTAAGCATTATTTACATTATCTTTATACCTTAAATTCTGTAATAATTTGTAAAAACACTATTTAAGAGATTTTATCACAGACTTAAGAGATGTTATCTCATCTTTGTGAGCTAATATTGTTGAATCCTGATGAGATATTGCCTTATAACAGGTTTCTAACTCTCTGCTAAGTGTTTTGAGTTTTTTATCCTTAAGTTTATTTTCGGTTATTTAATCTTCTAATTCTTTGCGTAACTCTTTATTAGTATCTAAGATTTCGATATAAACTGAATCTATATCATTAATTCTTATTATACAAATAGATTCAGGTGAAGCTCAAAAACTTGATATATCTATTGATTTGCAAAAGATTTATTACTAGCTTTCAGGCTATAAGAGGAATGTAAAAAAATTACATGAAGCTTCTCTAAAAGCTGGATTTAATTTTACTTAAATGAAGTGTGTGATTGGCTTAAAAGATAAGCTATGCATCAGATACATAAGTCTTGTCCTAGATATATTCCTTGAGCAAGTTTTATTTTTATTACTCCTAATGAAATTCACCAAGCAGATATTCTTTATATACCTTAGGATAAGATGAGACAGATTACCTTTCTTTTTTGTCTTAATGTAGTGGATGTGGCTTCAAGATATAAAGTATCTATTCCTATTGGTACATTTAGTGTCAAAGATAGAAAGGGTATCTTGACCTCAAAAACTATTGCTTGAGTTCTTGAGAAAATCTATGATAACCCTAAATGTTTTCTTGTTTGATCAAAATTGCTAATCACTGATAAAGATTTTGAATTTAAGGGCAAATGTGAGAAGTTGCTAAGAGAATATAATACTAGATTTCAGAAGGCTAAGTCTAAGCCAACTGTTGACATTATTGAAAGATATAACTGAACTTTAACTGAAAAATTGTTTCCATCTCAGGATGCTTCTGATCTTTTGATTTTGCATTTGAATAAACGATCTTGAGTTTGGGTAAAGAATTTGTCTATAGTTGTTGAAGATATTAATAATTCTATTACACGTTAACTTGATATTTCTCTTGCTGATGCAATAAAAAGAAAAGTATTATATCTAAGCCTTCTAAACCTCATAATGGTTCTATATGCTTTAATGAAGAGAAGCTTTCTAGTGATATTCTTGTTTGATATTTACTATATCCTAGTAATTTGGAGGGTAGAAGACGTCATGCTGGTGATTTGAATTGGTCATCTCATATTTATCATATTTGTCAATCTATGATGCAAAAAAATCAACTGGTCTTGTATTGGCTGGAAGAAGTTTCCTTTAGGTTAATTAATAATGATAATTATATTTTCAAACGTCCTGAAAGATCTTTTGTTCAAGAAGAATTGATGATTATTTCTTATGATACAGAATTGCCTTTCCAGTGGGTACTCACAAATTAAATTTCTAAAGTGATGATAGGAAGTCTACTGTTTCTTTGTTAACTTGTTTATCAGTAATAAAATAATCCTTAGCTAATTTATAATATAATTTATATAGTTCCATAATGGAGTTAAGAATCTTTGGATTCTGTCCATAATATTCTTTGTAGTCATCTTTGACTTTATGATATTTAGCTTCATTAGAAAATACAGTCATGGCTAGTTTGAGAACATATTCTTGTAAATCCTATGCCTGGTGTAATTTTTTGATTCTTTCTTTATATGATTGCATAAATTTGCCATCTTATGGTCGTCTATAATAAATGCTAGTCTTGACTACATTTACTAATACCTGTTCTACTTCCTGGTATATAGTTTAGTATCGGATAATTGAATTTGTGTACTCATTATATAAGAAGGTATATCTGCTATTCACTTTTCTATATTGCAGATAATTTTATTTAATTAAATTTTTTCATCTCTATTGTAAATGATAGCATCTTATACTTGTGACTATCTTCTTAACTCTGGCAAGACTTGTGGTAAAGCCTAAACTCAATTTGAAGGATATCAGCAATATTGGAAGACTAGAAAGCGCTATTCTTGTACTGATTGTGACAAAACAAACCTACTGCTACAGCTTGTGAATGGTATGCTGAACATATTAGAGGATATTATATGATATAATATTATAATAAATTGCAGAATAAGACTCAAAGATTAGACTTGATAAAAGGTACGTAGGGAGACTTAGCATATATATATCTTAGAGATGTATTTATTTGTTCTAAATTTTTGTAAAAAAAATGAGTTTGAAAGATTTTCTGTATATTGAGAAATTGTTAGCATGCTAGAACATGTTCGATAAACTTTTGGTTTATAAATTTGTTATCCTTTAGAGGTGTGACTTAGAGGTGAGACTTGATAAAAGGTGTGACTTAGAGGTGTGATTTAGAGGTGAGACTTAGAATATGATATACATTTTAGGCTTGCATGATCAGATTCAGCTCTAATTGTATCACTTTGTTCCTTGATTTTCGATGGTCCCTTCAAAGGCAAGCAGAATAGCATAAAATTAATATTCATATTGGGTTTGCAATGTTAGGCCTAGCTCAAATCGTATCACTTTATTCCTTAATTTTCGATTGGTCCCTTCTGAGACAAATAGAATAGTAAAATTTTTTTAATATATTATTTAGGATTAAAATTAAGCTAAAATAGCTATATCAAACAGTATAATTCTTAATATCTAAAGGTTGATTTCTAATCAAGTTCAATATTATTATCTAGATTTGAGTCAAATTGCGCTAGAGGCTTGAATTTGATAATTTGATTCATATAGATAAAATGGATTTGTGTGCAGGGAGGAATCTTACTGAGGACTATATGAATTTTGTTTCAGAACTCCCATTTTGGTCTATATTTGTATAAGCTTTAAATTTTGCATCTATTTATATGATTTACTAAAATATCTATATAATTTTAACTTATATTACAACAAGTTAAAGATGCCAGTCAAAACTCCCTCAAAATAATTTCGTCATATTCCTTACTATGTTTTTAATATAGTTTCAGCTAATTTCAGGTTTTGGGATTTCATCGTATCTCTCACTATGTTTTAATATAGTTTCAGCTGTTTATTAATTGCCTTTTTTGAGTTTCGTCCCTCATCTTTACAACAAGTTGTAAATTTAAATTAATTGATATATCATTTTTATATACTAATATTATACATTTAGTAAAATCAAATCATAAGGTATAGTAATTTATATGACTTATAATATAATTTTACTGATAATACTTTATATTATTTTGATAAAAACTAATATTACTTTTTTGATAATACCAATAAATTTTTATTAGAAATATTAAGAATTAATATTTATTATATATTATTATATAATAGTATTATATAAAGTATTATATACAAAATCCTTAAATAAGAAAGTATTAACCTAAAATACTTGCATTATGTAATCTGTTTTTTATTTAAATAATATTAATATATAATTATTCTTTTTACTATAATTAATTTTATATTATTACTATAGAGAATTTTCAAAAGTTAATATATATAATTGTTTTTGTTATTTTTGATGATTCAAATTATATTGTATTTTAATGTATTATAAATATCTTATTCTATCGCATTTCAAAATTTGAATTAATTTAAACTAAAATTATCAATGTAAAAATAATAATTAGAATTTTGTAAAATTTATATTATATATATTATATATTTGATTTCTTAAAAGCAAAATTATTTAAATCAACTAATATTTTGATATTTATAAAATGATATTGTGTTTTTAATATATAACAATTGATCTAATTTGAATTACAGACTTGTAATATATTTAACAAAGATGATTATATGAATAGGTTGTTAGGAAAAACAGATTCTGAAAAAAATTTTGAATAAAATTTAGCTATAAATGCATTTTAATTTAATATTATCAGAAATCGAAATGCAATAAAAATTAAAATTTTTATTAAAAACTTTTCAAAACCTGATTTTTTTTAGTAATCTTCCTATATGTAAAAACTTTAATATATTTTTTTTAATTTTTATAAATTATTATTTTAAATTTATCATCAACCATAATTAAAAT